GAGTATCCCCTTACATCAGGGTCTCCATCGAATTCCTCCCTTACATCAGGGTCCCCATCAGAGTCCCCCCTTAAATCACAGCCTCCTTATATCAGAGTTTCTCTTTATATCAGGGCCCCCATCAGAGTGTCCTTCTTACATCAGGGTCCCTTAGAGACCCCCCTTACATCACAGTTCCTATCAGAGTCCCCCTTTGCATCAGAGGCCCCTTACATCAAAGTTCCCATCAGGATCCCCATCAGAGTACCCTTATATCAGAGATCCCTTTACATCAGGATCCTCATTAGAGTCCCCCCTTACATCAAAGGCCCTTTACATCACTGTTCCCATCACAGTCCCCCCTTATGTGAAAGTCCCCATCAGAGCCACCTTACGAGGGAGTCCCTATCAAAGTCCCCCTTACATCAGAGAGGAGAGTCCCCCTTTACATCAAGGCTCCTATTAGAGTCCCCACCTAAATCAGAGTCCAACTTACATGAAAGAACCAATCAGAGTCCCCTTTTACATCAGAGGGCCAGATGTGGCTCACGGGCTGTAGTTTGGGGCCTAACCTACCTGCTCTTTCACATGCAGTGATTTCTATCTACCTGATTAAAAGAAAATCATATGATTAAAGTTTGAAATAGATAAGTCTTCAAAAAGGCTATCATTTTCTTTACATGGTGTATTTACATTGACCTGCTCTGCCATGTTTACAGACCCCGCAGAATCCCTGGTCTTTGGAGTTTCTGTCCCGTCCATCATTGGCCTCCAGACAATAGTGGCGTCTGTGCACCGCGGTTTGCTTCCAGCTAGGACTGCTTCTTCTTCCGAATAATATGTTTCCTGCAGGAAGTAATAGCAATTAGTTAATAAGAGCTCGATGTTGGCAGAGGCTACTGAGAACTTGGTCCAAGCTGCTGGAGACAGACGGTCCGGGAGTGCAGTGGAGATGAAATGAGACCTGCGTCTTTGCTACGTAAGGCTTCCATTCCCCCCGCAGATAGGCTGGAATTTTCTGCTGGATCTGCGTCGCCTCCAAACACATGATGTTGTGGTGAGACATAAGGGAGACGAAAACAATGCCGAGTCCCGACATGGTTCAGGATTTCTCATCTGTTCTTTCGTGCACAACAGTGGTCAAGTTTTGGACAAGATTAATGTTTAGAAGGTGCATCCTTTTTTTTTTTTTTAAAGGAAAAAAAGCAACATTTAAGTAGCACCCCCCCTAACTAGGTTGCTAATAGTTGAGCAGTGTTCAATTGCTTTTGACTGTTTCGGGTTCTGCTAGTCTAGGCTCAGCTGGTTTTCCCTGATTTCTGGAAGGTTCCAGAATTTAGTGGGTGAAAGAAGTGGACCCACACGGCATATTCATATCGCCTCCGCCCTAGCAGGTATAGTGGCCAGCAGGGGGCTGAGGTGCATATAAATAGGCTGGGCTTCAAATAGCAGGGTCCTTGTTCCTGTGGGAGAAGACCCAGACTGAAGGCTGAGGCCCTGTGGGTTGATAGTTGCAGCTTAGAAGAGGTCATCTTGGTTCCAGCTAACAGCTAGGGGGCCCACATTCTGAATTCCTGAATAGCAGTTCAGTAAGTCCACAGAGGATCTAGCCTGGAGGCACCCAGCACAGAGGCTAGCTGGTACTGCAAGAAACCATGGAAGTACACAGGGCAAAGTGAGTACAACCCTAAAAGATCCCAGAGATTGTTCCTGCCACCCTTGGGAAGAGCTTACTCCAGTTTGCTGACTTAGGCGTTACCTTCACAAAGGGGTCCCCTGAGTTGTAGTTCACCAGACACCGAATACAAGAGGGTGGCTGCACCCTGAAGAAACAACGCAGTTAGAGGTATCCTCCATTATCTTTCAGCTAGTTTGGAATATTCCAAGCTTCACCCGCACCCTACCCAAGTTAAATCAGCAAATAAACTACAAAAAGAGATGCAACGACTGTTACCTGGGTTGAGTGACTTTCAACTGCTATGTGCCTGGCTGCCATGTGCCAGTTTAGACTTGTGACCTTTATACTTCCGGCCACCAAGCAAATTACAGCCAGAGCTTGACTAACTAACACCCTATCCCTGAAAGCTGTGAAATCCAGAATACACTGGATACTCACAAAGGGGTCCCCTGAGTTGTAGTTCACCAGACACTGTGACCTGGGTTGAGTGACTTTCAACTGCTATGTGCCTGGCTGCCATGTGCCAATATAGACTTGTGACCTTTATACTTACGGCCACCAAGCAAATTATAGCCAGAGCTTGACTAACGAACACCCTATCCCTGAAAGCTGTGAAATCCAGAATACGCTGGATGCTCACAAACGATAAATTGATGGCCAAACTCGCTGACACCATGCATACTTGTCACAAAACATGGAATCCATGGATCACAATTTTCCACCCTCAGATTTTGATGCCACCTGCCAGCTCTGTGAAAGACCATTTAAACTCCGTGTAGCAGACGGGTTGTTGTCTACGATGCTCCTCCTCTGCTCTCTGACCCCCTCCCACCCTCTTCTCCGTTTCCCTCGTTCCCTTTCTTCTTTCAACCTAGTTCCCCTTTCGTTTAATTTTTTTCTCGCTTGTTAACTGCACACCAGCTACTGTTGGCCTGGAACATGAAGCCAAATATTGGTTAAAATGCCTGTATTATTTTGTGTACACCTGCTAACTTTTGTCTTCTAATATATCATTGGCCTGCGTGCTTGGCTAACGCACTATAATTCCAGTTAGGAAATATTGTGTATGTAGCACCCTCCTAGTTTAGCTAGGGGGAGCTAGACCCTGATGGCTAGTGAGGAGCTGATTGGCAGCTCAGGTGAGATAGTCAGAGGGATCAAATTCTGGTCAGGACTGAGAGACTCTGCAGATCAGCCCCTGGAATTTCCCCTTGCTCCGAGGCTTTTGGAGGAGGGCCTTGGAGGCAGTGTGTGGATTTGAGGAGTGGATGGTTAGTCTCTAGAGGGACCTCAGCTAATCCCCAATAGGAGGTCTGGCAAGGAGCAGGGACTCCCTTAAAACTGGAAGAGCCTGCTCAGTAGCAGGAGTGTGGTGGTGGGAGAGGAGTGTGGAACAGGAAGATGTGAGGCTGGAAGAGGAAGGTTGCCTGGAGGCCTGGTGGGATGGGGCCTGCCTTCAACCTGGAGCTGGAAGGGAAGAAAACTCAGGCTCACTGGTCCCCTGAGCGAGAACCACCTGTTTGGCATGGAAGGAGCATCCCAGCTGATAGGCCTAGTAGCAGCAGCCACCCGCAAACGGTACAGGAGAGGATCTGAGTGAGTACACCTGCATCCCCTGGGCGAATAGGGGAAGGAGCACTCTGGTTGACAACCAGGTTAGCCCCCTTCTAGTGAATGTTACCAATTTAAAAGAACAGAAGCCAGATCCCCTGCTCAGGAAGAAAGTTTCCAGATTGCTGGGTGAAGAAGAGTTAATCTAGGGTCTGGGATAGTACAACTGGAGCTGCTGGCTAGCACTCCAACAGATAAAAAAAAAGCTGTGACTAGTTCAGGAAGTTGTGATTTTGGTTCCCTTGGTCATCCTATACCCCCCTTACCCCATCCAAGTTCTATTTCCCTCAATAAAATAACAAAAGCAATGCTCAAGGACTGATTTCTGTCTACGAATGCAAGCTTGCGTGGAAGATGCTTAATGACTGTCTGTGCAGGACTATAGGGGGACCCAATTCATCAGCAATCCCTAAGGGGCGGTGCTACATGTGCAATGCTATGAAAACAATATAATGCTATTGAACAGAAAACGGTTGTGCACACTTGCACCCAGACCCTACTGGTCTCCTATGGTTTATAGGCTTCTTCCCACTCAAGACTCTTTGAAACCTTTGGACTCCAGGCCCTGATCTGGGAGTTACAAAACATGGAGAAAACCAAATATCCAGTTTTTTTCCATTCAGTGCAGACATTCTGGAGCCCCTCACTCTGCATTTATGAGAACTCTGTGTCGATTTTGCCTTTTTTACATTATGGCAGGGCCTTGAACTGTCACAGTATACGTATAGTATATGTGACAGACCCAACCGGAACAGGGGCTTTTGGAGGGGACTGCAGGCTAGCCTCTTGTCTACTGACCATGAACCCTGGCATCTGAGGGGGCTCCATTCTTTAGGAGGTGTGAGCCTGCGGGGACCTTTGGAGTTGTTTTACTTTGTATTCAAATCCATGTCTCCCTAAAACACATAGACTCTGAGAACTGGATGACCCAGATTTGGGGACTCTGTGCCCAAACCAGTATTAACTGGTTCAACCCCCCCCCCCCCCTCCCCTTCCCCAGACTAAGAGACTCAGAGCAGATGTTAATATAATCAGCTCAAAATATCCTGATGCTGAGGTCTCTTGCTGTAATCTTTTTATTGAGGTGTGATGTGTTTACCGTTGTGTATTTGTCCCATTTTCACTTATTGTTTCTGTCTGTCGGCTAGTGCTCCTGGAGGTTCCTACATGATGGGATTAGTCTTTTGTCAGATTTGCCACATTATCTAATCAGTGTGGGATATTTATACCAAAGTGTAATATTTGGTTTTATTGTTCACGTGGGAACTGCCCCTATTTCTGAAGTGTATAAAAGCCTGTATTTATGTTCAATAAATAAGTTCCAGTCTGCACCTAAGCTAATGTCATCTAACACTTGGGTTCAATGTCCACCTATAATATCTTGGTCTTGTGTCCCAACAGCGAGGAAACAGTTCTCAGACGGAAGCACTCAAGAGGGGTGCCAGGTGGTCCGTCACAGTACATATGAAATATTACATATATTTAAAGTAGAATTCCATCTTTTAGCTCACTTTAAATAGGAAATTTGTGCCAGAGTGGCATTGATGAGTCCACTGTGCGTGCTGCAATGTATTGCTACATACATTAAAGCGGAATTCCACTCACCCTGTCAAAAAATAAAAATCGGCAGCTACAAAAAACTGTAGCTGCTGATTTTAAAACACAGCCACTTACCTGTCCCTCGGTCCCCCCGCAGCCCGTTTCACCGGCCGTCCTGTATTCCAGGAGGCCGGCATCTTCAGTGTGGGCACCCGGCTGTGACAGTTTGCGGTTTCACAGCCGGGTACCCACTACGCATGCGTGAGTAGCGCTGTGCTTCATGAATGGTCCTGTAGTCTTCTTGGACCTGTCACGTGTCCCAAAAGACCACAGGGAGGGAGGGAGGACACCTTCTGCTTCCGATCGCCTAGGCCAGGGATGTCCAAACTATGGCCCTCCAGGTGTTTAGGAACTGCAAGTCCCATGAGGCCTTGCAAGACTTTGACATCCACAGGCAAGACACCCAGAGGCAGAGGCATGATGGGACTGGTAGTACTTCAACAGCTGGAGGGCCATAGTTTGGACACCCCTGGCCTAGGCGGAAGTGGGAGCGGGTACCTGTGAAATTCGGGTACCCACTCCCCAAAGGTGCCAATCCTTATTGGGGAGCGGGGGAGCAGTCCATAAAGCAGATCTTCCCCTTTTGGGTGGAGCTCTGCTTTAAGTGTCACTGTGTTTCAGAAGCCATATGGACAACTTCCTGTCTGCCACCAGAATGAAACAGAGTCAGTCTCCTGCCCTACACCATTCAGGAGAAGCCTTGTATTTTAGCAACAAATTCCCTTGATTGGCCAAAAGGAGGATGAATGACATCAAAATTTCTTCCTTGGCATATCTGAGGAAAAATTCACTGGTAAAAATACAAGACTTCTCCTGAATGGCGGGGAAACACTTACGCCAACTCGATTTAATTCTGGCAGCATTTAGGAGGATGCCCATAGTACTACAGGAACACAGTGCCACTTACTGTAAGTTTGCTCCAATCTAACTATTTAAAGTGAACTGGAACTCTACTTTAAAGCTGCTATTTTTTACATGTTTACCAGTTCATTTTAGCGACTTTGGTAAAAAAAACCCTCAATAGTTCAAGCTTAAATATACACATAGAGCTGAATGAGTGACTCCTCCCTCTGCCTGCCTACTGTGCTTACACAAGGGCTATAAAGACTTCCAACTGGAGAGTAATAGACTGCTTGTGCTGATCTCCCTGATTACAAAACCCATAATGTTCTGTGACAACTGTGAAACCTGTTTTCACCCAGGTAAAAGCCAACCATGTAACACATACAGTGCCATGAAAAAATATTCATACCCCTTGAAATTTCCCACTTGTTGTCATGTTACAGCTAAAACCGTAAATGTATTTTATTGGGATTGGATGTGATAGACCAACACAAAGTGGTACATAACTGTGAAGAAGGAAAATGAGAAATGGTTTTCAAAATTTTTTTACAGGTAAATATCTGAAAAGTGTGACGGGCATTTGTATTCAGCCCCCTTTACTCTAATACCCCTAACTAAAATCTAGTGAAACCAATTGCCTTCAGAAGTCACCTAGTTAGTGAATAGAGTCCACCTGTGTGTAATTTAATCTCAGGATAAATACAGCTTCTCTGTGAAGCCCTCAGAGGTTTGTTAGAGAACATAAGTGAACTAACAGCATCATGAAGGCCAAGGAACACATCAGACAGGTTAGGGGTAAAGTTGTGGAGAAGTTTAAAGCAGGGTTAGGTTATAAAAAAATCTCCCAAGCTTTGAACATTTCACAGAGCACTTTTCAACCCATCATCCGAAAATGGAAAGAGTATGGTACAACTGTAAACCTACCAAGAGATGGCCATCCACCTAAACTGACCGGCCGGGCAAGGAGAGCATTCATCAGAGAAGCAGCCAAGAGGCCCATGGGAACTGTGGAGGAGCTGCAGAGATCCACAGCTCAGGTGGGAGAATCTGTCCACAGGACAACTATTAGTCGTGAGCTCCACAAATCTGGCCTTTATGGAAGAATGACAAGAAGAAAGACATTGTTGAAAGAAAGCCATAAGAAGTCCTGTTTGCAGTTTGTGAGAAGCGATGTGGGGGACAACAAACATGTGGAAGAAGGGGCTCTGGTCAGAGGAGACCAAAATTGAACTTTTTGGCCTAAAATAATAATGCTATGTGTGGTAGAAAACTTACACTGCCCATCACCCTGAACACACCATCCCCACCTTGAAACATGATGGTGGCAGCATCATGTGGTGGGGATGCGTTTTTTCAGCAGGGACAGGGAAGCTGGTCAGAGTTGGTGGGAAGATGGATGGAGCCAAATACAGGGCAATCTTAGAAGAAAACCTTGTTAGAGCCTGCAAAAGACTTGAGACCGGGGCGGAGGTTCCCCTTCCAGCAGGACCACGACCCGAAACATCCAGCCAGAGCTACAATGGAATGGTTCAGATCAAAGCATCTTCATGTGTTAGAATAGCCCAGTCACAGTCCAGACCCAAATCCAATGGAGGATCTGTGGCCAGACCTGAAAATTGCTGTTCCCAGACGCTCTCCATCCAATCTGACAAAGCTTGAGGGATTCTGCAAAGAAGAACGGGCAGAAATGTCCCTCTCTAGATGTGCAAAGCTGGTAGAGGCATACTGAAATTGCAGCGAAAGGTGGTTCTACAAAATATTGATTCGGGGGGGGCTGAATACAAATGCACGCCACACTTTTCAGATATTTATTTGTAAAAAAAATATTGAAAACCATTTCTCATTTTCCTTCCACTTCACAATTATGTGCCACATTGTGTTGGTTTATTACATAAAATCCCAATAAAATAAATGTATGTTTTTAGTTGTAACATGACAAAATGTGGAAAATTTCAAGGGGTATAAATACTTTTTCAAGGCACTGTATGTTTCACTGAATGGCTGATGTTTCCGTGCTGAGAGCATGCTCACTGTGCGTTCCCAGAGACCGAGCTATCCCCACTAACGATTGATAGCCAGCGGGACTTGTTCCCGATCATGTGACCACTTTGATAGCCAATCACAGTGGTCATACGATCGCTAATCCTTCCTGCCCCCACAGCTTCAGTTTCCTTTCCCATCTGATCCAAGTCATCTAGAAGAAATGCCAAAATGTTAAGGAAATATTAAAATTTTCAGGAAATGTAAACTCGCAATTTTTCTCCTCTAAGCAAAGCTCCATACACACTGAACATTTACCTGAATATACACTGTGTGCACAAATTATTAGGTGAGTATTTTGACCAAATCATCATATTTATGCATATTGTCCAACTCCAAGCTGTACAGACTTGAATGCTTATTGGATTTAAGCATATCAGGTGATGTGTATTTGTGTAATGAGGGAGGGTGTGGCCTAAGAAGATCAACACCCTATATCAAGGTGTGTGTAATTATTAAGCAGCTTCTTTTCCTCGTGCCAAATGGGCCAAAAAAGAGATTTAACTAACTCTGAAAAATCAAAAATTGTAAAAAGTGTTTCAGAGGGATGTAGCACTTTTGAAATTGCTAAGATATTGGGGCGTGATCACAGAACCATCAATCATTTTGTTGCAAATAGTCAACAGGGTCGCATGAAATGTGTTGAGAAAAAAAGACCCAAATTAATGGCTAAAGATTTGAGAAGAATCAAACGAGAAGCTACCAGGAACCCATTATACTCCAGTGCTGTCATATTCCAGAAGTGCAACCTACCTGGAGTGCCCAGAAGTACAAGGTGTTCAGTGCTCAGAGACATGGTCAAGGTAATGAAGGCTGAAACCTGACCACCACTGAACAAGACATTGAAATGTCAAGAGTGGGCCACGAAATATCTGAAGATAGATTTTTCAAAGGTTTTATGGACTAATGAGATGAGAGTGACTCTTGATGGACAAGATGCATGGGATGGCTGGATCAGTAACAGGCACAGAGCTCCACTTCGTCTTGGATGCCAGCAAGGTGGAGGTGGGGTTCTGGAATGGGTTGGTATGTGGGGTTCTGGTATGGGTTGGTATATGGGGTTCTGGTATGGGTTAGTATGTGGGGTTCTGGTATGGGTTGGTATATGGGGTTCTGGTATGGGTTGGTATATGGGGTTCTGGTATGGGTTGGTATATGGGGTTCTGGTATGGGCTGGTATTATTAAAAATGAGCTAGTTGGACCTTTTCAGGTTGAAAAATGACTCAAAATCAACTCCAACACCTACTGTCAGTTTTTAGAAGACACTTTCTTCAAGCACTGGTACTGGTCTGCATCTTTCAAGAAGACCATATTTACAGTATGCAGGACAATGCTCCATCGAAAGCATCGAAGTACTTCACTGCGTGGCTAGCCAGTAAAGGCCTTAAAGATGAACATGGCCCCCTTCCTCACCCGACCTAAACCCTATTGAGAACTTGTGGGCCCTTCTTAAACAGGAGATTTACAGTGAAGGAAAACAGTACACCTCTCTGAACAGTGTCTGGGAGGCTGTGGTTGCTGCTGCACAAAAAGTTGATTGTCAACAGATGAAGAAACTGACAGACTCCATGAATGGAAAGCTCATGAATGTTACTGAATAGAAGGGTGGCTAGATTGGTCACTGATTTTTTTTTTTGTGTCGGAAATGTTTAATTGTAAATTTTGAGTTGTTTATTATTCTCACTTTAACAGATACAAATAAACAAGTGAGATGGAAAAATTTTCGTTTTTCATCTAGTTGCATAATAATTCTGCACACCAATATTTGCTCAATAATTGCGCACATATATATATATTCTCTCCTAAGAAAGCCAAAACCACACTTTTACTTTCTTAAATATTCAGGTTTGAGGTTTATTAACATTTTGGATTGACTGATTAAATGAATCCTCAAAAATACAACTTGCTTAATTGTGCACAAAGTGTATGGACAGTAAATTGGAACTGAGCCCAGATGAAAAAACCTTTACACTTCACCCTCTGTCCTTGAGAACCTTTTACCTCTCTATGCATCACTGCAATATCTGCTGGGACTCTGACCTGACCCTCCACCATCCAGCCCCATTTCCTAGATTTCATGGGCCCCAGAAATTTCAAATCACCAAAATCCCAGTGGAGCCACCTACAACAGCAAACATCCCTTATCAGAATTAAACTGGTAGACCTTGGTATATGTTTTCGTCTCTCTGACCCACAGATGGAGGAGGTGTTTGTCATTTCTGTCTATATGTACTGTACTAAAAAAAACCTGAACTATACTAAATACACAGAACGTCTTCCAAGCCAGTCTGGTGAGCTCAAGTGAAAGCTACATTCCTGAAATTGGAAGGTGGGAAGAGTCTAATGTAGCAGGACAAATGTCCTTCATTTAGTAAGGCAGACCTCTGAGACAATGTGATGAAACAGGTTGGGAAGTACATTTATAACTTCCTTCAAAAGTTGGCAACAACAGGGCAACCCTGTTAGGCGTGCTGGCTCCAGATACTCAGGGTTCTTCAAACTTTCTAGGCAAAGGACCAGTTTACTGTTCTTAAGGCTTTAGGGGGGCCAGACTGTGACCAGTGGAAATAGAAATTGCCCCGGCATCAGTATTGCATCACTGGTTTTAGTGGAAGGAATAGTGCCCCATTGTTGGTATCAATGAGAAGAGTGGGGGGAATGGAGCTCCATCATTGGTGTCATTTGGTGGAATAGTGCCCTAAGGGCCAGAAAAAG